AATAAAATAAAATAAAATAAAATAAAATAAAAAAATAATAAAATAAATAAAATAAATAAAAATTACAGGGCAAGAGGAGACCTTTCTAACTATAACACAGAACCCAGAATCCTAAAAGAAAAGATTGATGAATTTTACTATTTAAAAAGTTTTCACTTAGAAGAAACCATGAGAAGTCAAAGGCAAATGTCAAGCAAGGGGAAATATTTGCAGTTTATATCATAGCTAGAGGACTTTTTCCCTTACTACTTGTTGTGTTCCTACAAATCAATAAGAAAATAAAAACTTACCTGAAAAATGGGGAAAGAATAGGGTAAGATAGTTCATAAAAGATGAAATAGAAATATCCTTTGAATATATAGAAAAATTCTTGACCTTTCTCAAAACAAAGTAAACATATTCTGATAGTACTTTTACCTATCCCCTGTCATATAGAAAAGATCAACAAGTTTGATAACACTCTTGTGGCAAGGGCACTGGAAACATTAATTCTTATCCATTGTTGTTGAAGTATAAATTGATACAATTTTTAAGGGAAAGCCTTTCAGTAATCACTGTCAAAATGGCAATTTACGTATCCTTTCACCAGCAACTCTACTTCTCATATTTAACCTATAAACATGCTGGCTCATGTGCAAAATTTGCTGTGTACACTTTTATTCATTTCAGCATTGTTTATAGTTTTAAAAATTGGCAACAACACAAATATATCTCACTGGGAACAGATTATACAAATTATGGCACATAGTACTAACAGACAGTATTCTGCAACTGTTAAAGTAGTGAAGACACTGCTCATTATGTACTGATATGGGATGGTCTTCAAGATATGAAATTAAGTGAAAAGCAAAATATATAAAACTGAATAGTCTGCTACTATCTGTATCAAGAATAATGTATAATAATTGTTTGCAAATATTTCTACAAAGATGCCAAGAAATAGGTAATATGGGTTAACTCTTCTAGAGAGGACAAGTGAATAGCCTGGGACAGGTGGGAGGGAGATTCTTTTGCTGTATACCATGTTGTGTCTTCTGAATTTTGAACTATTTAAAGGTGTTATCTATTCAAAACTGAAAATATTTCCAAAATTGTAACAAGGTAAAAAAATATCTTGTTAAAATATCCAGCTTGTTACCTGAAAACTGTGACTAAAATCTAAAATCAAGATCTAGTTTATCTTCTACTTCATTGAAGTTTGCCTCCTTTCTACTGACAATAAAAACAAAATATTTAACCCCTTTGCAGGTGCTGCTCAGTAGCTGCTTAACGAGCCCCAACTCCCACCTCACTCATCTTTGTTTTAAAACTCCAACCAGAGGGCAGGTAGTCTTAAAAAGAAAGGTTTTTTGTTTGTTTGTTTGTTTTTAATTCTCCTATCATTCAAATACATGCCTGACAGTACATGTCTTCAAATGTTTGTGTATGTTCGATATAGAAAGAAGAGGTTGGAAAACATTTTTAGTGAATTTTAGTTTTAAGAATTTGGGGGGAAGGACCAAAAAGCTGGAGGTGTGATGATCGTTTTATTTTCTCTTTTAGATATTAAGCACCGCCGAATACCAATCTTATTCTTTGCAAACAAAATGGATCTTAGAGATTCAGTAACATCTGTAAAAGTGTCTCAACTGCTGTGTTTAGAGAACATCAAAGATAAACCATGGCACATTTGGTAAAGTTTTATATTTACTTTTCATTTTATCATTCTAAAAAAAATCTCTGAGCTTCAATTTTTCTTTGCCAAGCTTATCGTGTAAGTGATGTAACATGATAGGATATAAGCTAGGGATTTTGTTGTATAGAATTGTGTCAGTGCAAGTGCTCATGAATATATTATTGTTAAAATATTTTCAAATCTTGGGGCACCCGGCTAGCTCAGTTGGTGGAGCATGTGATTCTTCATCTTGGGGTTGTGAGTTTGAGTCCCACTTTGGGTGTAGAGATTATTTAAGTAAGTAAGTCTTAGAAAAAAAAAAAAAAACTTTTAAAATCTTTTTAGGGATAGAAAAATATAAACGACTCTTTAAAAGAATAATTTAGCCCACTTACTCACCCCATTTCAACCACACTGATTTCCTTCTGCACATTGTATCAGCCATCTACAATCCCATAAGAACATTTGCACGTGTTACTCCTTTTATCCAAAATAATTTTCCTGACTTGCTATTATACCTCCTTCAGGAGAGAGACCCCTCCTGATAACCTTCCAGAATATTACTATATCTTACCTCTGTACCTTGTTTTTTCACACTTTGCTTTATATTTCTATTGCAATGTCTTATCTGGGTATTGCTTCTTTTATAGTCCATCTTCTCATACTAGTGCATTAGCACCATGAGAGCTTGGATTTTATCAGTTTTATTCACTCTGTAACCCCTAGAATAATAATAGTGCCAGGTACTTAGTATGTACACAACAAATTTTGGTTTATATGAGTATATAGAAATGGGAATAATAATTTCATTTGGACATACTAATAAAATTGAACTCTGCAATAATTAGTATCTGACATTATTATTCAGCGTTTATTTGGAAGGCGGTTTCTTATTGATACATTTAACTCCAGTGTGTCTTTCCTCCAAAATATTCCAATAAGGATTACCGGAAGTGATATATTAGTGTTTTAGTGCCGGCCTTACATTAATTTAAGCTTCCTTCTGTCCACCCACCTACCTTCTCCTACTGCAAGATGTCCTTCTCTTTCCAGTTTCCCTTTTTTTAAAGAAGGTTTTTATAGAGAAAGGCCTAACAGAGGCAGAGAAATCTACTGCCTCTAGAAGGAGAAACAGAGTATGAACAAGGAGACAGTAGAGCTCAGAAAAGATATTTTAGAACTAACCTTCATTCTGAAAAAGGAATAGTATAAAAGAGAGCTTGAAAAAGCCCTTAAAATGCCTCAGTACTCAGGGCCAACAGCATCTCTACCCAGGAGCAAAACACTGCATATCTTGAGTAAAACCCTCCTTACTTTGAAATCAGAGGGAGAATCAATTTTACTAAATGTCTTTTGAGTTGGATTTGAGGTTCTGTGGTATTTGGTTGGTAAAGAAAAGAGGGATTTTAGGTAAAGAAATATCTTAAGCTAGAAACATTGTATTTCTTTAAATCATACCTAAATTGATAATATCTAAAGTAAAATAATTTTTAATTTTTGCATTGTATTAAGTGTTGGGACTGTTTTGATAGGAAGTACATTAAGAAATCTGTGTCTAAATTAGTAAAAGATATAGTCCTACTTTTAATTTTGGAATAGAAATTTACTTTGCAAATGGAAAAAATCTTTCTACTTAAAATAATCAGTGATTGAATTTTAATAGATTTATTTATTCAGTTGTGACACCTAAATATTTCTCACTGAGAGAAAAAGTAACATCCTGACATTGTAATGATGTGGAGTATTATATTGCCTGCTTCTATATTTTCTATATAACTTACAGAAGAAATTTGTCTATAATATTGGCTTCTTAATTCAAAAAATATCTCACTAAGTTCTAATTAGTGTTTCATTTGTTAAGTTTTTTTTTTATTTTTTGCTATTTTCTTTAAAGCATGTAAAAAATTGAAAATACAGTTATTTTTATTTCCCCTTTTACAGATAAAGGTAACAATAATACGGAGATAAAATATTGTATCTCTCTTGCCTTAGGTACAAGTAAATTTACTGGGCAATAAACAAGAGATTATAGAGAAACATAGCCTGGAAAATTATAGGAAAATTCTGTGGTTTAATTATTGGTTTTCATCGTTGTACTAAACAACTCTGATTTTCAGGGTCTGATTTTGTTAATATTCTTCTTGTGTGTTCTTTGACTAAGTCCCTGGCACAATATGTATTTGCTTATTTACTCTCTTTTGAGGGCAACAGATAACGAAACAGATAAATAAGTATATAAAATGTCGGCTGGAAGGATGAAGAAAAGTAAAGTAGGATAATAAGAGAGAGAATAATAAAAAGTGCTCTTTCTGCGAGATCTAATTGAAGTCAGGGTGCAATTCATGCGAAGGCTTGGAGGAATAGCTTTCCAGACAGAGAGACCAGCCAAGTGAAAAGTCTCTTAGGTGAGAATGTGCCTGGTGTGTTCCAGGAATAGCAAGAAGTCCAGGCTGGCTGGAACAGAAATCTAGGGGGAAATTATAGGAGATGGGGCCATTGAGAAATAGCTAGGGACCATATCCCATTGGGCCTTGTAAGACATGGTAAAAACTTTGGCTTTTTTTCTAGTTATAGACCTGATGACGTGTTCAAAAGGAGAGGTAGAGTTCATACATTTGGGAATTATTAGGAAAAGATGCAAGGTTTTTAGTACAGTATTAACATCTCCAGTAAAGGGGGAAAGTTTTTCCATTGTATTATTTGTTTGGTTGGGACTATAGTCTTGTTTGGGACCATAGATGTGTGATAAAAATCAATACACTGATCTTTCTTGATTTAAGCATTTCAGTTACTGATGTTTTGCTACTGATACGGATAATTTATAATTTGCTTTGAATAATTATGTATCAATGCTGTTGGTTTCTTTCTATTTAAAAAATAATTCTATGATAAGTCATATTTGTAATCTAATAAGTAATGCCTTGGAAGTAATTTCTGATTTTATTAGCATCTAATTATTTTAGGTAGTTAGGTACATTTTTAAATCTTGCTTCAGCACAGTTAAAAGGAACCCTAATCATTCAGAAAATCTAATTGTTTATACTAAATGCTGTCAGTCCATGTCTTTGAAAAAGGTGATCTGATACTATAAAAATCCTCTGCCTTTTATTATGTTAGTCAATTTACCATCATTTTATAGATGCTAAAACTGAGACAGAGAGTTAAGTAATCAATCCAGGTTCCTGAAGCCAGTAGGTATAAGAGTATGGTTGAAATCTGAGATTTTTTTATTCTGCCACTTTACCAAAGTTATAATCATAGGTTTATACCTTACAGATACCAAATTCCATTTCAAATAAAGCCACTCCATCATGTGGCTAAATTGTAACCGAAGTCAAACATTTCTAATAAATAAATGCTCTTGAGTCACTAGGACTGGGCAAAGTAGAATAATAATTTTTTAGTGATATACTTTTTCAAATGTCTATATAAATTATGAATAATTTTATCATGTCTTCTTCCTGAGCACTTAGACTTTTATTTCCTGTGTATATTCAGTTTCAGTGCTTAACCAGCTTTGCTCAGATATGTTACTAGAATATAATAATTTGCCATATAGCAAAATTATAATTATTTATTCTTATGTTCTATGATGTAGTGAAATGGATATGTTTCTTATGGATTTTATTTCAGTGCTAGTGACGCCATAAAAGGAGAAGGATTGCAAGAAGGTGTAGACTGGCTTCAAGGTACATCACAAAACACTGTGCATTTTCAGCCTTTATTTCCATTCCATTCACATTTTTTTCCTCCTTTTACATTTCATTTTTGTTATATCATAGCCTTTCTCCCTCTTGTTTCCATTTATTTCTGCTGTCAGAAAAAACAATACAGTAAGTATCCAGTACCTTGCTACATTTACTTCTATTACATTTTTCTAAAGGGTTTATTTAAATAAAGTATTTGCATCTTTACAATTCAATATATATGATAACTCTAGAAAATAATTATAATTTATGGCAACAAATTTCTATCATATCTAGTAATAGAAGCACACTTGAAATTTGGGACAAATTTTAGGTCTTACTGTCAATATTTAAAAAGTAAGTTTGCATGGCATATATCTTTTAAGAATCATGCTGAATTCTATGTATAGCTCCATTTATACATAGCATGTTTATACAACTTTTTTTTTTATTTTTATTTATTTTTGAGGTGGGGAGGGCAGAGAGAGAGAGACAAGAGAATCCCAAGCAGGCTCTGCAGTGTCAGCGCAGAGCCTGACATGGGGCTTGAACTCACGAACCTGTGAGATCATGACCTGAGCTGAAATCAGGAGTCAGACACTTAACCGCCCAGGCACCCTTACACAATTTTTAATACTCATTTAGTGTTATAAATACTGGTATTGTATTGATGTTTTATATATTGCAATTTTGTTATTCATCAAAATAGCTGTCATAGGTTGGTACAGGCTTACTGTATGAAGGAATAAATTAACATCTAGCATTTCCTCTAAGATTACATTGTTTACTAACCACAGGAATGGCTTAAAGAAGTGACCCACGCAGAGCAATGGGTGTGAATAAAACCAAGTTTTGTAGGTCTTTTTTATTACGGGACCCTGAGAGTCAGGCCAAAAATTGTCCATTTGTGAGTAGAGCTGAGGATTATTCCTATCAGGAATCTCCCTGCCCTGAGCAAGGGTGAATGACAAAATATTCTTAATTCTAGTTGTAGTCTTGTGGCTATAAATTTAATTTCTTCTACACTAACCCTTTAATACCAGTTATGTGTAATTTTGTTTTCTCTTATTCATGTCCTCATGAATCTAATAGGCTGCTTGCCCATACCGAAAGAGACCTTTCTCTGGTTCAGAGTACTAAATGTACATCTGATATATATTTTTATGTGTTATTAGTAAAGTATGGTATTAAGTAATGTGCACAGACTGTCTTTTTTTCTGTCTTGTATTTGTGTAGACATCATGACATTTACCATTAAACTACAAAGAATATTATAGTCATATTTTACAATTAAGTAAACATAATTGAGAACCTCTCATGGTTTGCAGAATAACTGGAATTTTTCTGTGAACACACCAACTTAGTTTCTTAGATTGCGATAAAGAAGTGGTTTACACTTCTGATGATTTAATGGGACTGATTCCCACGTAAAACAGATTACAGAGCAACATTCTACAGAAGACGCCAGAAGCATGTTTTCAGCCTTGATTTCTTACTTTACAAGTGCTTATTGCTCACAGTGAAGTTATAGCACAGAGAGAAACCCTACTATTGCTCATAAAATCATAGTACTGAAAACAGGTTGATAAATTATAGTTCTTTTTTTTTTTTTTTTTTTTTTCCGGTTTATATTGTCTGCAATAATGAGGCCACTAGGTGTCAGTAACGATCCAACATCGCAGTGCCACTTGCCAACTCTGGTCTAATTACCTAATTTTTGCATCTTTGATTTTTCTGATTCATAATCTTTGCATCTTACCTCCCTTTTTGTACGGAGAATACACTATTGGAAATAGTATTATGTCTTTGTGTTACCGTATTATTTTATGTAACATTTATAGCAGTTTTCTGTGGGCAGTTTCCCTATTGTATGTAGGGAGCATGAATAGTAATGAAAAGCATTTGGGCTTTTGAGTCTAGCAGATTTATTCTACTACTTATTAACTAATTATTAACAATCTTATATTATTTTCTTGTGAATATAATTTTGTCATCTATACAATTAAAAAATAAAAGTCAAAAATTGTATGGGTTAAATGAAACACTCTGTTAAAGTGCCTAGCATAAGAAAAAAACCAATGAATGTTAAATTTACCCTTTCACCTAACTACTCTCTATTTATGAGAGGAAGAAACTTAATACCTAGATTAAAAATTGTATGGGGCTCCTGGGTGGCTCAGTTGGTTGAACGTCTGACTTCAGCTCAGGTCGTGATCTCACAATCCATGAGTTCGAGCCCCGTGTCAGGCTCTGTGCTGACAGCTCAGAGCCTGGAGCCTGCTTCAGATTCTGTGTCTCCCTCTCTCTCTGCCCCTCCCCTGTTCATGCCCTGTCTCTCTCTGTCTCAAAATTAAATAAAAACATTAAAAAATTAAAAAAAAAATTGTAATCAGCTTGGTTATGAATAGGAGATTCTTTTTTTCATCTTTCCTGTATGATAGTAAATAGCTTATTACCTTTTGATTCTCCTACTATCTCTCTGGATTTAAAAAGAGGTAAAAACCTATTTTGCAAATTAGGTAGCAGTTAATATTGGAGACTAGTCTGTGCCTATAGCTGTTAATTTATTAGCCAAACTTATTTTTATGTAAATTTAACTGTGAAGGATAGATATTCTGCATTTATATCTCTTCATTTTGCTTCCAGAATTCTGAAATTTCTTAGCATGATAAGCAAGAAAGCCTCTGGTTCATTTTAATGAACACTTTAATGTTATTATTTTAAGGTTGAAAAGTTTTGAGTAAAATATTAAATGACATATTTTGTGCCATGATTCCATTCTCTTTTGGAAGGATTCTCGATAATTACATATGTATTACAGCCCAAAGACAAGAACTCCTAAGTAGACTATGAAGTATTTTTTAAAACCATCAAAGAATATATAGAAACCATTGCAGAGGTATCAGTTGTTTTCTAGCTCTGACACTTTCAAATGAGATATTTATAAAAAGAAATTTTTCCACATGACTAATGAAATGTACTCATTTTATCACTTTATCTGTATTGAAAAGTTAATGCTTCCAAACTTTTAATATAAGACTTTTATAAACTATGCATATGGGTATTCCCATGAAAGATGGAGGAATGAACACATACTTAGTTTCTTCCCCTTCTCAAATCTCACTAACAGAAAGGGGACTTTTGTTTAAAGACATTAACCCACAAGGGCAAAAAACTGGAAGTGACAAAGATGTCAACCAAATTTTGAAAACTGGATGCCTGATGCATGTTGAATGACCTAACAGACCTGAGAAAGGTGAATTCTGAACTAGCACTGAGGACAGCTGGAAAGCATCCCAATTTACTTTTCAGATCCCCTCAAAGGCTTATTGATGGAAAGTGGAACTAAGGATGAGGTGAGGCTGAAAAGAGAAAACAGTTACATTTTCTTGCCCCCACAAAAGACTGAAGGTTCATTCTTGCAGAGAGTCAAACAATATCTTGACTGGGGAACACCAAGCACAACTCCGTGTGGCAGAGCTGATCTGAAAATGAGGAGTGATACCAAATATTGTAATCCTCTTCTTCCTTCTCCTACTTCTCCCAGTAGACACCAGCAGTAGGCAGGATATAAAAAGTCATCTTTGAGGAATAAGACCAGCCAGAGAAAGACCTACAAGTATTAACATCAAAGATTTCCAAGAAAATGGCTTAGCTAGCTACACTAGAATAAAGACCACATTTGACAAGCCTCACACACATATTGAAACTTCAGTCAGCTTTATAGTGTTCACTCATACTTATGAGAAGATGACAAAGGATCACCAGGCATTTGAGGACCTAAACATTTTAAGTTATGGAACATTAACAAACAAAAAACAGATCGGTGGAAGTAGAATTTAATTTTTTTTAAAGATTTATTTGTTTTTGAGAGAGAGAGAGAGCAGAGCACGAGTAGGGTAAGGGCAGAGAGAGAGGGAGACACAGAATCCAAAGCAGGCTCCAGACTCTGAGCTGTGAGCACAGAGCCCTATGTCAGGCTAGAACTCACGGACTGAGAGATCATGACCTGAGCCGAAGTCAGACACCTAACCAACTGAGCCACCCAGGTGTCCCAGGAGAACATTTCAAAAAACTATTAGACTATCCTCAAAGGGATAAGAAAAGGTATTACTTTTTATTTAGGGAAAACATTTCAAAAAATGTATTAGAGTATCCTCAAAGGGATAAGGAAGGGTATTACTTTCATGACTATGACCAGGATACTACTTGAAAAGGACCAAAGGAAAAAAAAAAAACAAGTTTTTGGAAAATATTAGAAGAAATTGAAAAGTCAATAAAAAGAAGATAAAATAGAAGCGTTCTCTCAGAAAGTAAAGCAAAAAGATAAAAAATATCGGAAAGAAAAAAAAAGGCTCCATATCCAAATAATAGGAGTTTTAGAATGAACAAAGGGAGAAGAAAGAGGGAGAAAAATCATCAAATAAATCACCAAACAGTATTTTCTAGAACTAAATGATGAGTTTTTAGTTCAAAGGCCTCTTGAGAGCCCAATGCAGTGAATGAAAATATTCCCACACCAAGGCTCATCATTACTTAATTTCGACACTGAAGACAATGGAAGATCCTACCAGCTTCCTGGGAAGAAAATAAGAAGTTTCATGTAAAGGATAAGGAAGCAGAAATAGCATCAGACTTGTAAACATCAACATTTGGAAGCTGTGAAATATTGGGCAATGCCTGGAAAAGTCCAAGGGGAAAATAAAAGAACTATATGCTCAGGCAGTATCATTGTATTGTGATTGTAGCATTAAGACATATTCAGCCATGCACAGTCTCAAGAATGTACCTCTGTACTTCTTACTGAGGCGGCCATTGAGAGATATACTCTTAAAAAACAAGGGAATAAACCAAGATGAGAAAATAAGAGACCACGAAACAGGAATAAGAGTATGTGGGATGGATCCTCAGGATGATAATGAAAGATAATGAAATCCTAGAATGATAATGAAAGATCTCATATCAAGATAACTGGGCAAGCATAGAGAACAACTTGTCCAGATTAGAGTTTTGGAAGACTCTAAGATTTCTTCAAGAAAGTGAAATTCATAGGCTATGTAATTCAAAATAATTTCATAATACGAATGAAATTCATAGGCTATGTAATGGTGTTTCATTACTCCACACTTAAACAGTGTGGGAGTAGTGGGATTGAATTTATGTTAAGTACTTTAAAAAATTAAGCAGATAGGCAGGGTTGGAGAATGAGGAACAATTATTAAAATGGAGGAAACAAAATGTAAAAAAGAAAGAGTAACAGGGAAGGGGGTACAACCTGTCTCAGTTGTTAATAGCATTTACCTAGTCATACTGATGACTATGTTAATATGGTAGAAAAATGGGAGTAATGGAAGTATAATGAGGGTTGCAGAGGAGCAGGGTAGAGAAGTATGTGAGAACTGAAGCCTCATATTACATTGAAGGAACTGATATTTTAAGAAGAAGAATAAAAGTATATTTAGAGATACAGAGCTAAATCTCCTAACAGGGAGTTAGAAGCAGTTACTTGAGAGAAAGAAGAAATGAGGCAAGGGACTCCTAGTTTTCATACAAGCCTTAGAGAACTAGTTGACTCTTAACTATGTGTATGTACAGTGACAAAAACAAAAACTACAGTATGTTTGTGCTTTTAAAAAAACTGGTGTGTGCATACATTTCTACAGTGTTTTTATAGATTTATTTGGATTACTTTAGAAAATGGATCTTGCCTGTGGAGACTGATAATTTTTTATTTGGTTTTTATTATCAGATCAGATCCAGGCTGTGAAGACCTGAAAAGATAGTATTTGGAAACTTCAACAATTTTCAATTCAAGGAATGTATCTTAAGGCAAACTGAATACTTCAAATTTTTAAAAGATGTTTGTGCATCTAAGAATACTTTATAATCTTCTGCTTGCATTTATGGACTCTGAATGAGCTTTTTAAGAACATAGGACTGCAGGTATGCTATTCTGACCATTAATTATATTAAAATTGAATCTTTCCCCAGAAGGGCTCTTTCCACAGAATTACCAACTTCTTGGTAAAGGTCTACATTTGATTGTAATTAGAATGTTTAAAGTCAGAGTTATAAGCCATCTCAATATCTCATCATGATTTATAATATCTTTAATGCATTTTATTTTTTAAATTGTCTTCTAAAAATTTAGTTTACGATATGACTTTGCAGTACGATTGTGCTTGGAAGAACTTTATTTATAAAGGACCATGGGTAATTAATATATACATAAAATTTTTACTATATGTCACTGTCAATAAAACATTATATGCAATATACCAACTAGTGTGCTTTGTTTATGCTGAAAAGATTAATGCTGTGTTAACTTAATATTTAGTGTTTTAATGTCAAGCATTTGTAAATTATCTGAGACCAAGTGAAGCTGAATTTATCCATCCAGTGACTACGTATTGAACCTCTCTGCACCTACTCTAGTTTGTCATTGTCCTAGGCAACGGTGATACAAGGTAAATAAGGTATATTCTTTATCTTTAGAGAACTTAAAATTTAATGAGGGAGAATTTGAGGACCTTTTCATACATAGTATCTAACTTTATTTCATTGGCTAAATGAATATATTGCATTTTAATATTAAGAGGTATAAAAATGAATTAGTGTAATTCTTCAATAATTATTTTAGTGGACTTCTTGTTTCTTTCTTTAAAATGCCTCCAGTTGCCAGAGCACTTTGTTAAAGTAGATTGTGACTCACCAAACAATGTTTTTCCTCAGCATAAACTGCTAAAAATGTTTAGAATTTTAGACACATGCCAGGCATCTACTCTATGCAAATTTTGTTAGTTCTCAAAACTTAAAGACCACTTATAATTGTGAACTCTAAATAGAAGCTTTCATTTTAAATTAACCACTAGAAAATAGAATATAGAGCAATGATGTCAATCCTGAAAAATACTGCATATAAAGAAAAACTGCAATATATAACGTGTAACATCTTAAACATCCTTAGGTGTAAAAATGATAAAAATAGGAGGCAAAAGGTAAGTAAATACAGGTGTGTTATAGTAACTATGATTGTGGTGTGTTTCATAGAGATTTGAATAAAGTAATTTTAAAGCCACAGTAAACATTCTGTAATCCAGTTTCTTTTAGCCCAGCAATACCAGTGGTTTGGATTTGGAAAATTGAAAGTTATCCAAAATATTCTAATACTCCATCATTTTAGCTTGCCAGCCTCTCATAAATTGTTTTGATGAGGATACAAAGTGAGATTCTGAGTAATGTAGAGTTGCCTGAAATGTAAAAAGAAGATGATGAAAACACCGAATGTAGTTTAACAAAATACTTATTACATGCTGTGTTTAGGAGAATAGGAGAATGGAGAAGGGGTATGTTAGAATTCAAATCCTCATTCACCATAACATAATAATAGCTATCATTCTATGAATGCTGTATTTTAAGCTAGATATTATTACACATACTGGATCTTAAAGTATTTAATTCTCAACAATAACCTCGTATGGTAGGTTTTATCATTTGTTTTATAGACAAGGAAACTGAGACCTAAAAAAATTACTTGCTAAATGTCACTGGTAACTGATGGTGCTAGGATTTAGGACCAAACCGTCTGTTTAAGACAGATGAATTTGAGAGATATGAGGCGCCTGGGTGGCTCAGTCAGTTAAGCGTCTGACTTCGGCTTGCATCATGATCTCACGGTTCATGAGTTTGAGCCCCGCGTTGGGCTCTGTGCTGACAGTGCGGAGTCTGCTTTGAGTTCTGTGTCTCCCTCTCTGTCTGCCCCTCCCCTGCTCGCTCTCTCTCTCTCTCTCAAAAATAAATAAACATTAAAATTTTTTTAAAGGAGTATTACAGATATTAGAAATATAGAGGTATCTGCCATGATAGCTAAAAGGATTGAAAAGATTCTCGTTGGGGTGGGACACCAGGGTGGGGTGGGGAGGTCAGAGAATAGCGATTACTGTTTTGTTTTGTTTTTTAATTTTTACAGTTTTAAGTCTGTAAACACTTCAGATTTTAAACTCTGGGCCTAAATGATTGATGAAAATAATTTTTAAAACTATGTTGATACTAATTAGTATTCCACAAACTACAGTAACTCACACCTGTGTAAATATTTAGAAGTACTGCCTTTTGCTTAACGCATGATCTCCAAATCTAGTTTATACTCTATAAACATCTATTCTACTCTACATTTTCATGTGAAGACTATGTAGAAGCACATTGGGCTCTAGTAGTCACAGGATGTCATGGAAATGTGTGGAAGCTGAGTTTATTGCATTTGTGTTCTAACATAGCGTACAATTAAGTTTTATTGCATTAAAGCTCAAGCAAGTGTTTTTTTTCATGTTTAACATCACTCTGTTACAAAGCTTAATTCATTAAGCTCTACATTTCAATATAAACATTTCATAAAATGTTCAAAACTTAGCCTGTCGTATGTTTTGCATTTAAATATGTGTGGCTCTTGGCGCCTGGGTGGCTCAGTCGGTTAAGTGTCCGACTTCAGCTCAGGTCATGATCTCATGGTTCGTGAGTTCGAGCCCCTCATCAGGCTCTGTGATGACAGCTCAAAGCCTGGAGCCTATGTCTTCCTCTCTCTCTCTGCCCCTCCCCTGCTCACACTCTGTCTCTCTCTCCCCCAGAAATAAATCAACATTTAAAAAAGTAAATAAATATATGTGGCTCTATTCAACCTGTGCCTTGTAAATCACAAGAGCTGAGTTTTATAGATTTGTTTTTCATTTATGGGTTGTCTGATAAAAATTGTGAATTATTTCTTGATAAGTTATTTTTTTCTTTGGAATTTTTGGCATAGTACATTGTGATTTCCATAAATATATTCAATTACTCTTAACAGTACTTAAGGCAAATACTTCCTGTGTGAATGCTCTAGCATTTTAACTATGCTTATTTTCTGCTTTCTGATTATTCTCTTCTTATTTAAAAACATGGGGCACCTGGGTGGCTCAGTCAGGTTAAGCAGCCAATTCTTGCTGTTGGATCAGGTCATGATCTCACAGTTTGTGGGTTTGAGCCCCACATCTGGCTCTGTGCTGACAGTGTGGAGTCTGCTTGGGATTTTCTCTCTTTCCCTCTCTCTGCCTCTCCTGTGTGCTCTCTCCCTCCCTCAAAATAAATAAACTTTTTTTAAAAAGCATAAATAAAACATTAAATGTTCATTTAAATGGATTTAAAATAGGTTTGTCCATTTCTGTGTGGAGAAATACTATAATAATAGAAAATTGTTTATTATGTTTAATTGAATGTTTCATGTAACTTAGTTATTATATTTTCATAGTGAATCTTTCTCATTAAGGATGTTCCTGATGGGGCTTGCAAAGAACTGCCTCAGGACCATTACTTACTCTCCCTTCTGGTTACTCAATTTTAATGCCACTCTTGGACATTTTATTAACATGCAATGTTAAACTTTTTCTGGTGATTTAGAATAAACCAAGAGGGGCAAATTAAATCCTTCTCCAAATTTGAAATCACTAACTAATGCTATATAAGTCATAAAAAAAAGAGTGGGTATTTTGCAAGCAAAATTTGGTTAGATATATAGTACTTCCCATATATCTTAGATATATAGAACTTCCTAAACACTTTACATATATTAATTCATTTAATCCTCATGACAATGCTGTGAAGTAAATGTTATTTTCTCTGTTACATAGATCAGGTGTCAGCAAACTACCAGTCTGGTTTTGTATGGCCCTTGAGCTAATAATTTTATATTTTTAAAGGATTAATTAAGGGAAGAAAAAGGAACAACAGATACTGTAATGTGGCCCACAATGCATAAAATTATTTACTGTCTGGGGCTTTACATAAAAACTGTCAGTTCCTGTTGTAGTGCAAATAAACAGAGGACCCTAGATTTTGAGTCTAGACAATCTGGTTTCAAAATCTACATTCTTAACCTCTGTGAGATTTGTCAAAAAGCTAAATATTATTCTAAAATGGAATAAAACAATTACAAATTTTTTCCTAAATAATTATATTAAAGATGAAAAATTAGATTCAGATGCCTAAAAAGTAATGCTCTTTGAAATCTCTGCTGCCTCCCCCTCCCCCCAGTAAGATAGATGTCCTGACCTAAAGTTTTTTTCCTTCCTTTTCTTTAAATGAGTGGCAACAGCGGCACCTGGGTGGCTCAGTCATTAAGTGTCCAACTCTTGATTTCAGCTCAGGTCATGATCTCATGGTCTTGAGACCAAGCCCTACATCAGGCTCCTCTCTGGGCATGGAGTCTGCTTAAGATTCTCTCTTCCTCTCCCTCTACTCTTCCCCCATTCACTCACACACTCTCTAAACAAATAAATAAATGAGTGGCAACAGATTGTGCATATTCTGAAACATCAGACTTGTTAATATTTTAAAGGATAACCACACTCACAGATTATCCCCAAGAATTTGGCTTGGACTTTCAGACCTCCCAGTGACATTCATCAATATTTTGATGTAAATGATAACTAGTGTTGATAGTCTTGAAATATATATGGTAAAATGTGGAAACATTTATAATTCAATTTGTGAATGTGCATTTTAAGTGACCACAAGTAATAATAAAAGGGAACAATATTAATTAGTTATGCCCCCATGTTCAAAATTTTTGCCATGTGACTGGTGATATAGCATATATCCATAAAGGGGAAGGCCCCGAAATTAGTGTCTCTTTCTCTTCCTCTCTCATTCTCTTTTATTTTCTCTTGGAAAAGGTTATAAATTCTTTCAAGTATTTTATGAAATACCTTACTGTAGTAAACTATTTCTGAGATAGGTTTATGCTTCTTCCAAT